GTTTAATTTAGTCCCTCGTTAAGTTTAGTATAAATGTGTGTCTGAGGTTGGAGCGATATGTGGAGAGTTTTCTCGAGCTCTCTAACCGGGTGAGCTGGCACGACGCCGCTCTAGGTGCGTGCTTTCTGCTGGGGTTGGATGACGAGATAATCCGCTGCGATCTTTCAGTGTGTGACTTTCCCCTGAGCGAGCTGATTAATCTCGTGCTGTTCTTAAATGGTTCAGACTTCGAATTTGAAATAAAGGAACTTCCCAAGCCTCGTCATCCAACTCCCGCTGGAATGCACCGCGTCTCCCCAGCTCACCCCATGCCGAAAACCTCCACATACCACTCCAACGGCTCTTACCGCCTGCCTAACCCCAAATTCCCTGTGGTCCTCCGAAGCTCCGCCGGAGTCTTCAGCCCAGGAGCCCAGGCTCTCACCAGTCAAGATGGCCGGCCGCTCGGAAGTCAAGCCCGCCGGACGTTCATGTGGCACTCGCTCCAGTGCCAACTCCTCAAAAGCGCTTTGCTGTGCCTGCTCCTCCAGAGCGCCCTCCAGTGCCAGCACCACGTAAGCACTACCCTGTTCCCCGGTTCAGCCCAGGAAGGGCTTCTGTTCCCGAGTATAGCCCAGGAAGGGCTCCTGATCTACCGCCTGCCCAACCCCAAATTCCCCACTGTCCTCCGAAGCTCCGCCCTAGTCGTCAGCCCACCGGCTGCCGCTGTCTCAAGCCCATCGCTGACTTAGCGCTCCTGGACATGGCGCTGCCTCCCGAGTTCTCGGCTCCTTTCCTCGCCCTGGAATCATCTTTGAAAAGTTCTCCTTCATCTCCGCTGGTCCCGTCCAGCCCTCCTTCGTCTCCTGATTCCCCCGCGTTAACCAGCCTTGCACCCTCCATAGCCGGCTCCTCTAAAGCGCTTTCCTGAGCGCCCTCCAGTGCCCGCTCCTCCAGAGCGCCCTCCAGTGTCCGCTCCTCGTAAGCGCCCTCCAGAGCCCGCTCCTCCAAAGTGCCCTCCAGAGCGCCCTGCCCTCAAGTGCCTGCTCTTCCAGAGCACCCTCAAGTGCCCGCTCCTCCAGAGCGCCCCCCAGGATTCTCAGGTTTGTTTAATTTAGTCCCTCGTTAAGTTTAGTATAAATGTGTAGTCTTCCTCTTGTTTCCTTGTTGAGTCTTAAACGTGGTTTTGTTTATTAAAAATCAAGTTTGTGAAAGTCATCTCCTCGTCTCCCTCCGACGAACCGTGACCATGTGTGTATGTTTATTGCGTGTGTGTGTGTGTTCAGGTGGCACACTTAGGAAAAGTAGCGAAGTCTTGAACCGCTCAGATTAAGGAAACTATTAAAAAAATAAATAAATAAAAATTTTGCCCAAATTTGTCCGGAAGCATGCTTGAGAGTTTAAAGCAGGGCTGTCCAAACTCGGTCCTGGAGGGCCGGTGTCCTACAGAGGTTAGCTCCAACCTTTCTAGTATGCCTAGTAAGAGCTTGATTAGCTGGTTCAGGTGTGTTTGATTAGGGTTGGAGCTAAACTCTGCAGGACACCGGCCCTCCAGGGCCGAGTTTGGACAGCCCTGGTTTAAAGGGTCTGAACTAAGGGTAAGAGGGCAGCAAACAAAACCACTTCTACAGAAAACGCATCTGAGTTTTTACTTTTTACTCCAAACCTTATAGTTACTGAGATGTGATGAGACTCACTTTAGTTTCTCCAGTTTATAGTGTGGATCCTCCAGTAGAGCAGAGAGCAGCTTCGCTCCTGAATCTCCTGGTTTATTATCATTCAGATCCAGTTCTCTCAGGTGTGAGGGGTTTGATCTCAGAGCTGAAATCAGAGCAGCACAGCCTTTCTGTGTAATAAAACAGCCTGAAAGACTGCAGAGAATATACAGAAAATTAAAAATTAGTTATTAGTGCTTGACTCATGTGTCCAATGTAATTGCTGAAGATGTAATACATATTATAGATATCAATTATTAAACCAGGCACAGGGAGTGACTCAGTGTCAAGTCCCATTTTAATAGACTTCAGACTCAAACTGAAATTACTTTAGATTTGACTCAACAAACAGGACCCAAATATTCCCATAAATATTCCCAAACTACTTGAGTCTTAACCTTAACTACTGAAGAAGATTTTGTATTTTAATTTGTATTCAGCCTGCTTATAGTGGAGCTGTACAGACCGTGTACATTCTGATCATTTGTTTTCCTGATTTAATATTGAAAGCAGCATAATGAGAAAGCAGCACATTTTTCATTTTATTAAAATAATAATAATAATAATAAAAATAAAAAAGAACAGAATTTGGCTTGATTTTTCCATTTTATTTTTCAGGATAGAAAATGGTTAATATTTGATCTCCACATGTAGGCAGTCATGAAACACACCTTTCTGCTGATTGGTCAACCAAAGATCAACTTGTGCTGTACAAACACTTGTTAATAAAGGCTACAGGTTAATCTAGATTACAATTAATGCCCCAACTGGAGTCCTCACTTGATGCTAAAATGAGTCCATATTCTTGGGAATTTGTGTAAAGTTGTTAGTGTTGTATAGGTTTTTGTTTTGCAACATTCATCAGATGATTTGTTGACTTGTCATTTTAGGCTCAGTCTTATTAACCAGACAATAGTTTGTTAAATCAGGAAAGTACTGAATGTTGTCAAATTAAACATGGTTAATGTTATTGAAGATTTCTGCACATGTATATCTGATGTACAAACAAAGTGTCATGAAATTATACAAGCTAGCCTTATCCATGTTAATATATTTATATTTTTTTAAACAAATTTTTCTGGAGAAAAAATAAAGTAAAATGGCAGCACCATAAATGGCTGTCACATGATTACATGCATCTGTTGTTCCTCGAGTGGCATTGACTAAGGATATTTAACTTTTTCCCCAGTTTTAATAATAAAGTTTTAATAACGTTTTTTAATCATTTAATTTGAATTATTATACTTATGAATTATTAGATTGAAATTGAATTATTTTCATTTATTCCAACAAACCTGAATGCAACTTTTAAGTGATTGATGATGATCCCAATGTAATATTTGTAATATCAGAGAGTAACAACCCTGTTCCTGAAGGTACCTCAACTTTGCACAGTTTGGATGAATCTCTCTTATTAAACACTCTTGATTTAACTCATCAGTTCATTAGTAGAGCTCTCTGTGATTTTAGCTGAGTGTCAAATAAGAAAGGCCTCAAAATGTACAGAAACAGTGTAGAGAAACACAGGCCTACTGTATAAAATAAAGTCAATAAAACAAAGACACTGTAAAATACTCACTCAATCTTTCTAGATGCTTTGATCACTGGCAGCAGCCTCAGGAGACATTCTTCTGAACGATCATATTTACTCAGATTAAACTCACCCAGCTCTTCTTCTGAGTTCAACAGCACAAACACCAGAGCTGACCACTGAGCAGCAGACAGTTTGACTCCAGAGAGACGACCGGCACCTGTTCTGCTCAAGTATGTTTGGACTTCCTGCTCCAGTGAACGATCATTCAGTTCATTCAGACAGTGGAACAGGTTGATGGACTTCTCTGGAGAGGGATTCTTCCTGATCTTCTGTTTGATGTATGCAGCTGTTTCCTGATTGATATCAGAGCTGCTTACTGTCTTTCTCAGGAGACCTTGTAAGAGAGTCTGATTAGACTCTAGTGAGAGACCTAGAAGGAACCGGAGGAAAAGATCCCAGTGTCCGTTCTCACTCTGTAAGGCCTTGTCCACTTCTTGCTTCAGTAAACTGGTCATTGGTGACCTGAACTCATTCCACAGTCCTGTGTTTTGTTCAGAAAAGGACAGCAGCTTGAATAAAGCAGCAAGAAACTCCTGAATACTCAGATGAACAAAGCTGTACACCTTCCCCAGCTGCAGTCCAAACTCCTCTCTGAAGATCTGGGTACAAACTCCTGAGTACACTGACACTTCTCTGACATCAATGCCGCTCTCTTTCAGGTCCTCCTCATAGAAGATCAGGTTCCCTTTTTCCAGCTGTTCAAAAGCCAGTTTTCCTAGAGACAGAATAGTCTTTCTAGCCTGACGAGGATCGATTTCATATTTCCCATCATACTTCTGTGTCTTCAGTTTGGTCTGAAAGATCAGGAAGTGTGTGAACATTTGTGTGAGAGTCTTGGGAATCTCTGCACTCTCTTCTTTACCCATCATCCTCTCCAAAACAGCGGCTGAAACCCAGCAGAAGACTGGTATGTGACACATGATGAACAGACTTCTTGATGATCGGATGTGTGTGACGATTCTATCAGCCAAACACGGATCATTT